ACACACACACACACACACACACACACACACACACACACACACACACACACACACACACAGTAGTTACACTCCAACACAGCGCCAAAACCCTCACCTTTCTTAACATTCGCGTCATTTCCGCTTGAGGTATTCGTGTGTACAGGGATATTTCTTTGACAATATTCGGAATCAGTGGCTGCACCTAATGCAAGAAAGTGCACTTGAAGTACGATTCAAACGTTAAAAAAGGGTAAAACCACATATTACTTATTTTAAAAAAATTACCTGTTTATTGTCCACGAGGAGATCGATTGGACTACCCCAATCCTCCATAACCCATGGGTGTTTGCAGAGCTCGCTCATCGTGATTCGCTCTTCCGGATCAACACAGAGCATTTTCGAGATCAAGCAACGACTACTTTTACTCAATGATTCGTCAATCACATACTGGCCTTTCTGTACGAGGATAAAATGCTACGTGACTTGCACAGGTTATTTAAGAAGTGAAGTAGGTAAAACTTACAGCAATCAATTTGGGTAGTTTCTCTGGTCTGGATGGGTCAAACGGTAGACATCCACAGAGAATGGCATAGAGGATAACACCCATTGACCAAATATCCGCCTAAACAAAAAAAACCCTTTTGGTATTCATGATATCGCTCATAGAAATCCCAAATTATACGTGCCCTGGTGGATGGTTAAACTATTTGCGAAAATCAATTATGCTTAATGGACATCTCAAACCGTTGTTCGTGAAATTCCTATGGCTTCGCTTATTTGCTTAAACAGTTGGTAATAATCTCCCCAGTTCGTAACAACGCACTGTTGAAAGGGCCAATCCATTTCCCCTCTGAGCCTGTCAGGAGGAGATCTTATAATTCCCGTCCTGCAATACTCGTCAACTGCAAAAACGACACTGACAATAAAACCACTTAAAGTGGATCCTGCATCAGAAAAGAACTAGTGATGTGGTGAATCTTGAGAGTGCAGGGATCAGAAATTAAGTGTGTTACTAAGATCTATGGGTTTCTGAATAAGTAAAACGCCTAAAATTGCAAAATTTAAGATAATCACAAATTAAATTTACCGCAGGGCCACTATATTCCCGGTTTGCAATGACCTCCGGGGCTGCGTAGGCTAAGGATCCACAATAGGTGTCGAGATAAGTGTTGTCTGAATTCTAAGAACAGTAAACAAAAAGTGCATATACCCTGGCACAAAGACCAAAATCAATGACGCGTATATTCTCCTCGTCTTTGAGCAGTATATTTTCCTAGATTTATGATAACCACACTGATAAGATCATACTGGCTTAAGATCGCGGTGAGCTATCCCTTTTGAATGAGAATACCCAACTGCTGATACCAATTGCCGAAATAGCAAACGAGCATGGGGCTCGCGAAGACTACCGTGATGCAAGATATAGTCGAATAGCTCGCCTCCGGGGACGTACTAAAAATAAGGTTAGCAGGAAAGACTCGAACCTCTAAAATAAGGTAGAACGTAGTGTCCGTCTCAATAACATGATACAGCGAATATATGTTAGGATGAGATAGGCGTTTAAGAGCCTCAATTTCTCCCCGAACACGAAAGGCTTCGCCCTACTGAAATGATACAATAACATGAAACTAACACCAAGTTTCCTTTTGTCGATTATTTTTATAGCAACCTGCTGACGAGTAAGTGCATGAATCGCTAAATACAGCTTGCCGAAAGACCCATCAGCTATTGGTTCACACAAGAAGTATAATCCCTGAAGGGCTTTCGGTATAAGTATTGGCATTGTTTTAGCATATATCTCAAGAACGTCGAATTAACCAATGATGGCCAACGCTGTTCACCTGCCCTCAACCAAAAAGGCGTCGCCCCAATCGATGCGTTTAAACAAATTATTGACGAAGTTAAACTGTCATTGAAATTGTGATTTTTTATTATAAATATAATTACTGAACACTTTTTCTCTACCGTAACAACATTATGCATATTTTTGTGGATAACGCGGTTAGCCTCCAGACTAGAACACCAAGTAATTTTTAATTTGAATAACTTGAATTTCGTTAAAGGCAAGTCAAGATTTAACCTTTTTTTACTCCTGATCATGCAAAAGATTTTTCAGCTGCAGTTATGCGCAGATAAAACAAATGCAACATGAATTCTAACTTTGACCAAACTGAAATTTCTTAAATTTAATCGGACAAAATCAAATTAGGATAGCGGCTTAATTAATCAGCATCAAATTGTGATATTTTCTTGAGTTTGTTTGTAGTAAAATTTTTTTTTATCTACAATTTAAAGAGGTTTCATTTTGCCTCTATGTTTTGATTCAACGCAGACATGATTTGTTAATTCATGGGAACGCTTATACATGAACATTGATGAAATTGCAGGTGTTTATACCTCGAAATGCGGACCCGGCCCATTTCTTACAAGTCATTATTCATATTATTTCAAAAATTTATTGCACGATTAGCTGCCATTTCAGCACTTTGGCTCAGCATTGCTCCAATTATCCTATCGAGAACAACGACTTACGTTATTTCTGGCATAGGCTTCCCGATTTCGTTAGCGTTGTAAGCCTAACCTCTGCATAAATGGGTTGCAAGCCTAATGTACCTGATAGTCCTTAGTGTCTATATTAATATGTCACTGAATGGCTAACAAACATACAAGATAAGACTAAATTACAAAATATTTTTGCCAAATACTGCAGACTACTATTAGCTGATCCTACAAATTCTTACACGAACAACATTAGTCAAGCTCTATTCTATGTGTTAGCTAAGGAGAAAAATTTTTTGCTGTACCACTGCGACCTTGTTTAGCTAAATACGTTGTCCCCTGAATGGCCTCATCTGAAAATCTCGTATTCAAGAGAAGCTTTCTAACTTTTTTTAAAGACAAACCAATAAATACGTGATAATCTTTTGATAGTATTCTTCAACTGTTTTGTACAGTCAGGCTTGTAAGGGCCATGTCGAAGTGTAAAGATATCAATCCTTTTGTTAAAAGTTGCTCTTTTTACAATTTAAATATCAATCCATCCGAACACCTGCTGGTCTGCGGAGGTGTCATTTTTGGCGACATCAGTTGTCCACATGTAAATTTTATTAAACTTACCCTGGAACCCTAACGTCAACTCACATAATTGGACGTAACTCTCGGAAACCATTTTTTTTAATTGGGGATTTCTTTGTGAGCACAAATATCTGGCTTTAAATGTCGGTTGAAATCTAACGCATACTTGCCTTAGAATATTACATCGACATTATAATATTTGTGTGTAAGTTAGAGAGATTTTACTCGTCTTTTAACTTTTATGATCTTCTTCATCGTGACATTCGCGCTCTTTTCAAACACAAAAAAACCTTTTAAAGTCGACAAGGTAAGCTTCATATTGTAGCAAAAAACACTGATCAAAACTGAAATTGTATAAAAAAGTACGGTAAAATTGTGCGGTCCATTATGAATCTGTTTGGGTATTGAGGCGCATTAGTGCGGTAAATTCATTTACAGTCAATACACCATCACCATTTTCGTCGACACCGTTTACAAGCTCGGCTATATCCTTGAGGGGGACGTTTGTTCCAATGCGTTTGAGGCCCTCGTGTATCTCCGTCACCGTGAGGTATCCAGACTTGTCTGTGTCCATTTCTTCGAATGTGCGCTTCCAGTCTTCGATTCTGTTGAATCAAAATGCGACGCAATACGATTACCTATGCCAACTTAAAGTCCGTTTAATTGTCTACCTGCTCTAGCAGAGATTTTTTACAAACACCATGTTAAAAGTAAGTAGTCTTATTGAGCCCAATTCCACTATGCTAATCACGTGTGTGAGTCTATGCACATTGTGGTATCTGAATCTCCATGGTAGGTAGGAGTCAATGAATGCAACTTAAATCACATAAGCAGGTGTCTTTAACTTACATTAAGTGATGTGCACACCTTAGCAAGCCTGAAGGCACATGCGTGATTTAATTTGCTGAATATAAGGCTTTTAGCTGCTTGTAGGTGATTGATTAAGAGTTCGGCTACGTAACCGGCAGTCTATAGTCACTAAATTCAGCTGCGCGAAAATAAGTAAACAGAGGTGGGACTTACGTTGTTTCAGGAATCTCCTTAAGCCCAAGTGCTCGTTCGTATTCGTCCAAGGTGACGCGTCCATCACCGTCTGCATCAAACAGATCAAGGAATTCCTAGGGAGAAAAAAACAAATCATTTTTGTGGTTCCTGAAATCTCGCTTACTTTAGTTTGATTGTACAGTAATTTTCCCCTATTCTAATCACGTCATTTTTTTGTTTCAAAGTCATTATTAATAAGGTCGTTATTTCTTCTTCTTACATACAAGTATGGTAGATATCGCAACTGAATTAGCCAAATTCAACAAGTATCGCAAAAAGATTGATTTAGACAAAGTATTTCATGGAATCGTTAGGCACACATCTTATCAAATAACTGCCTCATCATCATACTTTGCAGGGAGAGGTGAGACTAAATTTAATTTAATCGACATGATCAAAGCCATTCGAAATACCCCAGTTTGGCGTAACGTGTTATCGCGCACCGAGACACCTGGATAATAAAAAATAAAATCACCTAGGCACTGGCTAATGGTCTTATTCGATGTGGAGACAACCATTAAGTAAGTAGTGCGTGCGCTTTTGCCTCGGTAGTGGCTTAAATCTATGGAGATTTGTAGCAAGTAACTCGTGATACTCGCTACACCCCCACAACAGATACCATCAACAGCATGTGACAACAATTCCTGTGTGCTATGAAGGCAAAATTTTGCCCTTTGAACTGCAAAAATTCTGCAGAAAGAACGGGGGACTAAGTTAGCCAGAAAAAGTATACTAAGTTTCCGAAGCAAAAATCTTAAGATTGACCTTGAACCGCGATTGTTAAAGATGGCATGGGGCTTAATAATTAGACCAAAATTGATAATTAACGCAATCTTTGACCTTTCTGTTATAAATTATCCACAAAATTGAATATAAATTACCGAGTTGTAATGGACTCAAAAACTAGCAATTAACACAGATGCATTCTAAAGGTTTTTTAAAGAAATAATCCAAAATTCAGATCGGTTTAGAGTTTAACTGTTTCATTAAAGTGACCATTACCGTTGGGTTATTGGTTAAAGTTTTCCGGTTGTGGATTTGTAGCAAAAAATCGAAGCATTTTCGCACTCATGTGCAAATTTTGAGTTAGGACTCCAAACGTGGATTTTCACTTATTTCTAACACGATTTTAATTCCTAAAACGATTCTTATTTGCTTTAGCGACTTATTTTGTTTAAAAGCTCATTCAACAAAAAAAATCGACAATCGTATCATCCGTTTAGTAAAATGGATTAATAATTCAATTGAATTGACATTTCATGTCAAGGTCACATTTGTACATTGCAAAACTTGACCCAATAAGATCCAACTTCAAACTGGAAAGTGGTATGGATTCTGATACTGGTGGCAAATACGTCGAATGCAATTAATAGGCGATGACGCCATTACCTTACAAGTCACATGGAATGACATTTAAAAAATACGATTTCGCGTGAAATACCGACCTAGTTTAAGCCGGAAGACCAGCACTCGGATTGGCTGTTGAGTTATAACTCTCTCTAAAGTCGAGAACGAACGCAGGAGAACATCTAGCCCCATCACTTATACACAAAGTTTGTCTCAAGAGGTAAAATTTATAAATATCAACCTGCAGACGTAAACTGTTACTCTACGTACTTTGCTCCTTTAAGAACTGAATTTCACGATCCGTGACGTGGGTAATATTGAGCGTCCTTTAAGGACTCTACGTATTTTGAAATTTTTTCTGCTGAATCTCTGACCATGTAGTGGACTAACAGTGTCATTCTACGCAAGTACGGAAAACCTGAAAAAAATTAATAAGTTGGAACGCATCCACGTCCAAGTAAATGGCTTCATAGTCGATTGGTCATACGACAATCACGCTAATTTCCTGATTTTGCCACTAAAAATTGAGTAAATAATCGTTTATCTTGGTTAAATGTTTTGACGGGTAGGAAAGGCCTTTTTCTACCTCGTCTAAATAAGCATATTTGAGTGTGTTAAAGAATAACATTAACTTACTTCAATCAGTATTACTTAAATTAAACCTGAGTAATAGTGATTAGGAGATAGAATCCGTCGTGCATGATACTTGATATATGCATTTAGCCAATTAGGTAGACGCTATGGTAGTCGCCAGAGTGATAATGTTTGGCCTCAAAAATCGTGACAGAGGGAACTTAATAACAAAATCTGATCCTAGCGTTGGTGTCAACTCACGACAACGTGATTCGTTCTCAGAAGTCAAGTCAATGCACGTGAACGAAAAGAGGAACTTCGTCAAATGAAAGAAAAATATGGCTCAATTTTCAAGCCACATGATCGAAAACCACGCCTCATTGATCCAGTAAAGGTATTTTCGTGGAAAACAAAGAACACCAGCGTCAAGATGCAAAACCTTTTGGCTCTGATTCTACGAGGTCTAGATATACTAGCCATGGTTTATTAGGGGTAGTCCTCAATGTCGTCAAGGTGAACAGTGCCGTTTTGGTGCCACGGCAAGCAAAAGCAACAATTCAGGACAAATCAAAAGAGCTCAAAACCAATTTGTAAATCAGCCAATCAGACACCGGACAGCCTCGGTAGCGTGACTTTGAAACCCAAGTGCAAACAAAGAAAGTGCTTTTACTCACATCAGCCACACTGCTAGGTAGCTTTGATTCCTTGAGGCACTGCTCAATTTCGGCTCGTGAGAGCTCCCCATCGTTATTCACGTCCATGTTGTAAAACTTGGTCAACAGCTCCTGCTTCTCGCGTTTCGACAACTTCATCTTGCGCACAGTGGTGAAAAGGCAGCGTATTTGATGGTGCCTAGCGGATTCCACACGTGTATATACATGTCTGTCACTTGCTTCTCTGCAACCACCCAATCAGCGTGGCGTCAACGCTGACTGTGTGCTGGTTCCTGCGACATGAGGCACGACGTCTTGCCGAAACAAACTCTCGTGAGGATGTTTGCTTAGAGGCAATTGTTTTCGAAGGAGAAATATTGCCTTATTTATATATCTCAGAAAGACCTATTTAACGCCTTCGACGCCTTCGGTACAATGAGAAATTTTAGTATTCCGGTAAAAGTGTTATGCGTAATTTTTGAGCATGGCAGGGCTGGTTTTTTAAATTACTAAAATGTACATAATTCTCACGGCTCTCCCCATGTGAATACTGAGTATTGTCACTAACACTGTCTAGGAGCTGTTTAAATAAACCTAGATGAACAATTTTTGACGTGGAGATTCCTTTATAAGTTCGATTTATGCCCACGTTTTAAATTATATAAAGTAACCTTTAAAAGAATCAATAAATTGGACACCAGTTGGTTCAAGACGTTCCATGCAACTTCCAGAACTAAAACACGTAAGTTTTTTTCATTTTGCTTGGTTAAAACAACCAAGGCTGCCTTCGTTAGCAACATGATCGTGGAAACGCCACGAGAATACTGCTTAAGAGGCGATGCGAAGGTGATTGCACAATATGTTGCGGTTTTCGAGGTCACAGTGCCAAAGATTTGTGGGTGGTACTACTTCAAAACACCAAGTATCTTCTTGCAAAACTCGTTTTTCCTGATCTCTCGTTACACCTTCTAAATTGTTTGCTAATTTTTCTCGTATTTTCGGGAGAACAAGCATCCACCTCTAATTCCCCAATTTCGAATTTTCCAAAATTTAGTTGTTGCGCCTGTTTCCGAGACAAACAAATGTCTGCTTGCATTCCAACGATTTTTTGAAATATTCGCGTGGAGCTTAACCTACTGAAAAGTGGACCCAAATTCCAATCAGCCAATTGTATCAGGCTTGAGAACTTTTGACACATTTCACTTTGAAACCATGAGGCCTGAGCCGCCAGCACTAGTTACTTCGAGCAAACACAAAGACAGCATACGAATCCTGGATTTTTTGTGTTTTTTTTTGGATTTCAATACAAGATGTACACGTTTTCAACACACTGCCGCAGGATTTTGTTTATTGAGTCAATTTTGTGAGTCCCTTTTTTGAGAATTTGCCTAATTATGGGGCGAATTAGTTCAAACAACTAATGGCGCCAAAAAAAGAGTTACAAAATATATTCCATAAATATCACATACTCAGTTCACCACACGAATATTACAGTTCGTAAATATTCCTTTGGGCTGCCATGTTTACTTCAAGCGTTTTAATGCCCCATAATAGCAGTAATTGCCATATCAACCGCTTACTTGGTGAGTTTTATCCAATACAAGTACAAAGCAGTGTTACAGGCTCCAGCACCAAAAACCTGTTACCAAGGTTGCAGTTTGGCACGAGTCTACAAGTGTTTGCTATCAAATGAGACCCTGGATATTAGCTGGCAAAGTGAAGATAACTCTTAATACTTTGGCTGTTGACAATTACCATGGTAACTCCCCAAACGTATTTGTAAAAGGCCAAGTGTGATGTCATGTCTAGACCACGACTGGACGGCCAAGAAGTTGTCCCGAACAAAATCGCCCCATTTTTCATCCTATCAAACTCTTACACTGGCGCCAACGCTAGTGATCCCGCTAAATGGTTATAGAAGCACGTATTGTGTAATTCGTTTGTGATTGGTATCTTAGCAGGTTGATTGTGATCTCGCCACTTCAAGAAGAGAAACTCAATGTGAATATACACTTCACAGTTTCCTGGGTTTTCACGGTTGCTGATCTTTCATTCGGCGAAATCAAGTTTGAACCGGTGTGAGAGTACAGGCCGAACGACCACTTTGAATTCACAAAAATTTGGCTCGGCCTTTTTGTGCTCATCATTAAAGAAAATGCGTCTGCAATGCGCAACAAGAGGTTTGCAGCAGTCTCCAGTTTAAATCTGAACACTGCTCTAATTCAAGTGGCGGGTCCTGAAAATCCTTGTACACTAAACTTCTAGGTTGAAAGTTCCATTACTGAGTTTAGAATCAAACTGTACATTGGCAAAAGTTGCACATACCATCACCAAATTCGTGTTTCGGAGGTGTCAAATGTCAGTCTTATTCCGCATTAAATTCGATTCAATAAATCAGAGATCGCATAAGTTGTATGCGTTATCTTGGTGCCAAAAATCCTATCCTCAATCTAGTTAACTGAGAAGGCCAGATTAAACTCGTGTGTACAATTGCAAAAAAACTTTTTTAAACGGATGCAGCACAAACGTGCACCACAAATGAAATGATGCTGCTGCTTCCTCGTGTCATTCGTCCACATATATTTGCGTAAAATCAATAAAATGAACACAAATATTATACTGTTGATGAAAAGGTCCTAGAATTAATGCCAGGAGTGGGGACCTCTGATTACCATGGGTTTGTGTAACTTCGAAGTAAATAAAAAACCCTTCAAAATCTAACAAGACATGAATGCGGAGTTTAGGCTGTTTGAACCAATGATTCTCCACCTATTTGTACCTACAACTCGACCATTTTTGCTAATCTAACTTAGAGTTGAGAAACTGAAATCAAGTGGACACTTAAGCTTTTCATTTAATCGCCTAAATCAATTTAAAAATAGACTAATAATGTCCGTCTAAGTCTCCAGTTAACCCAAATGCACAAAGTGTGCGCCGAATGCAAATTGGCAGCACGTAAAGTAGTTGTCTAAACGGCCCTACATCTGGACAACAAAACAGCATTTGGTACACCACGTGAGTGACAACTTCATAAACTGGAACTCGACCATGAGGCCAATTTCGGAGCTAACTTACTGCCCTTGCCCAACTGCAAGACTTGGTGTCTGCGTATAAACCAATGGTCTCGAGTGACTTACGTTCACCTTGCTCTTCGGCAATTTGGACTCCTTCAGACACTGCAGAATCTCCTCTCGGGAGAGTTCGCCGTTGCCGTCGGTGTCCATGTAGTAGAATTTGTTTAAAAGCTCCTGCCTTTCCTCTGGCGTGTACTTTCGCATTTTTGCCAAGTTTTAAGACAAGTACGACTGATAACATAAGAGCTAACTGGTGCCGTGCCATCGATATATACGCGGGAAGCATTGTGTGAACTACGCCAGCTACCCAATCAGCTGCGACTAGTCTAACTTAAGCCTTTTCACGAGACCAGGTGAAGCAGAATTGAAGTTACGAGGTGGTTTGTCTAAGTGGCATGGCTTCTCAGCCTTCAGCTCAAGAAGTGGGTGGTTACGCTGGGGATAGGACGTCGCACGACTGCTCACTGTTGCTTAACACGTGACGACTTAGATGACCCCACTGATTCCTGGAATCAAAAGTCCATTAGTTATTGCTATTGAGGATTCACCACCCAAAAGGATACGCTGACGCAAGAGACAAGGGATTCGATAACGTACTCTCGGGGCCTTGTGTCTGAGTTCAGACGAACCGAATCAATTGTTCACCCACGTGGATAAAATATTGTTTAAGTCGACTGTACTTCCGCCGCCCACGCATCAGATGACAATACTAACATGTGAGTATTTTGGAGAGGGTGGCAAGCAAATTGAAAATTGTATTCCCATTTCAACATCGCTTGCAACCAACCGCTTGTTGACCTTTCTAAAAAGGAAGGTGTTTTTAACTGCAAAAACTCATTTATGCAATTGCACACACCCAACTACCTAACCAGCCAAATCAGTAGTATTTAAATCAAACTTGCATTTTTCTCACATCTAAACAACATGAAATACAAGTTGCTTTAATCAGTCTATTTCTGCTTATTTTAGCTCAGTGAATTTCGGACTATAATTACTTGTGTCATCAAATCTGTAAGGTAATTTAACAAATTAATGCATGAAAGTAGTGTGTATGTATTGGTCATTGCTTGATTGAACTTCTCAAGTTTGAAAAAAAAAATCAATACTCGATTATTGGGCGAAGCACATCCAATAAGTTACTGAGAGGGCCGCCAGTCAATGTAATGCCAAATTATTGGTTCAGTCGATTTTCTCGAAAGAGCTAAATTTATAAGAAGTAATCATCAGCGGATTCTGAGTCTGATGCTTTAAAATAGGCAATGCTAAAATTTACAGACAAGTGCATAGGGGATTGAGACCACAGACTCGATTTCTCGAAATTTAATGATTTGATTTAACTGATTCCCCCACACAAATTTGATCCAGCTGGATCGAATTCAGTTTAGCCGAATGCATTTGCTTTCTATTCTAATGTGGCTTCATGTCTAGAATCATTCTCGGCAACCCAGAACGCATATTTGCAGTCAACGACCACAAAAACGCTGAATGCTGAATCATTGTCGGTGCCGACAATGCTTGTCTATTGAACTTGGTACTACAGGCCAAGTTAAAACGCAAAATCTAGTACGTGGGGTATTTTGGGTAATAATGACAATACGGGCGTGTAAAAGCGTTGTTTAATTGTTCCAACGTTAAGAGGAAAAGTTAAATTTGAAGCCGATTAAACCCTTCATGCCACTAAAACGACGAAAATTAGCATCATAATAGCTCCATTCAATTTTGAGCGCTTTTATTGGTTTGATGGATCTTAAATGAAGTTCAGCTGAATTTAGTAACTCTAACTAACTGTCAGTAACCACATAAGCGTAATAAGCTGCAAATAAAACGCGTTTTATTTGTGGGAGAACTACAATTATTACCCTACAAAGGTAAAGTTCCAGTCGAATATAAAGAATGTTTGAATATGCAATGTAGTAACTATAATTAAGAGAAAATATGTTGATGGTCAAACTCTGAGATTAGTTAGAAGTCAGATGAAGCGATTTATGTAAACCAGCCCACTGATGAATCCACATCCTGTCGTACTTGTGGGCGTTATCGCAAAAAATAATTCCTTCTCCGATGCAGGGATGAGTGCTGGGGAATTTGATTTGGTGGTTCTCTACGACTTTATGACTGATCGCATTTCTGATTATCGTCATTTAGTAAAAAATTACATAACAAGAATATTTCAGCTAAAATCTTGCGATGAAATCTGAGATCTGACAAACTCAACGCTCGAGTAAAATATTTCGGATAAATTTGATAAATCAGCCCACTAATAAGCATAGGTTTTGTCGTTACTAGTAGGCGTTCTTGCAAAAAAAATTATTTCCAAGCATAAACAAGTACTAGTGAATTTGTTTTGACAGTCAGTTGCCGCCTACTGACTGATCGTCCATTACTGCAAAGCGATCTAACAAAATCTGTTCCTCCAAAATCGTTCTATGACATCAAGAAATATGATAAATTAGATACTGGGAGAATTCATGAGCACAAGCGGGCAACTTGAATTCAATTAATTGAGTACACAAGCACAAAGCGACAAAGGAAGATATGTGTTTGTCAAAATAATTCAGCAAACATTTGTATAACATTTACTTAGGAAGCACGTACACCTAGATACAACATTAGCAAAGTTATTATCCGGCTATATTGTGTAATTAAATGTGTTTGAATTCACATAAAGTTACTTTAATTTTTTTAAAAATCATTTTTTTACAATGAACTGCAACCACGTAGCACATTTTACAAAGCACTGAAATCGATACATAGTTCAGATCTATAATAAAATAATTTAGGATGAGCATTTAGTGGTAGTTAATGTTGTCCACACTTGATGACCGTGCAGTGGTAAAAAGTTCATATCGATTGAGCACGAGCATCAAAATAAAGACTCGAAAGAATAATTTTACTAATTTTGTAAAAGATTAATATCGGTTTTTGCCTACATTCTAGCAGAAGGTTTTCCGCAGAATTGCACGGAAAACTGATCAGACTCACAATATGTGTAATGTATCAATTACTTCTAGCGCTCAAAAATAAGCAGACAATTTGCTTTCTAGTAAAAAAATGGTAAAAGTTTAATCTGTCAATTTTCCACTACTTCTACCAACGCCAGAAAATAAAGATTAATTTAGCCTCTGACAATTGACAGGCTTCAGATTTATTTTAGAGTGTGGATTTTATATTGAATGCGGGACAAAGGAATATCCAAAAATATTTAAAACCAAATTCTCTGATTTAACGGTAAGTATGGCATTTCAAATGCTCAGAATTTATTGCACCATAATTTTAAAAATTGTTAAAATAGCCGACTTCATTTTTAAAGACAGCAAATCCTAAACAATGTTTTAGTCAATCGCGCAGTATACGGATAAAAAGGGCAAGAAAATCATTAGCACTAACAGTTTGGCAGGAGTTGTGGCTTATGGTGCAATGTTGCAAGGCAGCAAGTGCAATTAGTTCATCCCTATTTTTTGCCACATTTCTTTAGACTATAACACTTAAGAATTCTCAACTTTCTAATTAAGATATGACAACACAAGAACTCACAGAGAGGAGTCTTGAAAAATACAAGGTCGTCAAAACGTTAAAAGTTAAAGCCATGGGTAGGCTGAATCCTCAAAGGTAGACAAATCGTGAACTAATCTTAAATGTCTACAAATTTTCACCAAAAACACGTGATAATGGCTTAAAGTGTTTTGTAATGTAGATAGCCTGAACAATTATCAAAGAGTGGACATCTGTCCCCCTTAAAATTGAATACCTTGTCAAGAGTTCACGTGCAACTATTATCTAAGAACTTGTTTGCTGCTATGGATTAATTAGTATATTTTTAACTGTTTTAATACCTGAAAAACACATATGCTGCTTTAGAAAATATGGTAGATTAAATTTGCTCACTCGCTTAAAATTAATAAGTTACTAGTTTCTACCGGATTTCCCCTTGATTTTAGGCACTTGCAGCTAAAAGCGTACACTAGCCACTGTAACTAAATAAAAATGCGAAAATTAATTTGACAAGCGTAATAGTTGACAGATGACCATTAGTAAAAAATACTATTAATGGTAAATCCAATCTCTATTATTATTGGTTAAATTCTCTGTTTAAACCTGATTTGTCATAAGTAGCCCATAATCTTCGACATATGCAACGTCGGGTTGGGACATTCAGGAGGCGTGGTGGAGGTACCTTCAGAGGAAGTAATCGTAAACAAGGAAACTATGTGGAATCTGAAAATGATGTTCCATTGGACATCGAAAGTGCAATGTCGGAGTCAAATGAAAGTCGTTACAGTCGTGCTAAATCGAACGATATCATGGATCGGCGCTATGGCTTTGAGCCCTTTAACGGACCAGGGGAACGGTTTGGTTGGTTGATTAATATGCATCCAACAGATATTCTTGATGACTCAAAAAATCTTGTCAGTGCTGTTGACTTTTACTTTATCCAATCTGATGGTTTGCGGTTTAAGGTGTCAAGGGCCTACCTGCCATATTTCTTCGTTTCCGTAGCAGGTGACCAGGGCAATGAAGCTGAAGTTACAACGTTTCTATCTCGAAGATACGAGGGTCGTATTGTCAAAATCGAATCAGTAGAAAAAGAAGATTTGGACATGTCAAATCACTTGATTGGATTGAAAGCGCGATATCTCAAGCTTTCGTTTTATTCCGTGGACGAACTTGTTCGAGTTCGAAAAGAGATTGCTGCCCGAGTTAAGGCGAATAAGGAAGTTCAAAGTCTTAAATCCACGTACACGGACATGTTAGGCGAGCACTTTAGGGATTCGAATGAGACGGAGTCTGTTGATCCGTTGAAAAGGAGGACTGCCTCCAAAGCATCTGATGCACTCGACTACCTTAATGATATCCGGGAATACGATGTCCCGTACTTGATGCGCGTCTCTATTGACTTGGGGATATTCGCAGCTCACTGGTATACCATCAAATGCCGGCCAGGTCATCCGCCGGAATTCATTTGTTCAGAGGAGACCGTCGCTTGGCCAGAACCAGTAGTTCTGGCTTACGATATTGAAACAACCAAGTTGCCCCTAAAATTTCCCGATGCGTCTATTGACCAGGTAAGATTTTTATTCTCTTCATTCAATTTGAACTTCCAACGCTATCGTGTATTTAATATTCAGATGCATTGCTTTATTCCAAAATTTCGTTTAATTGGCTCTTCATTTTAACGGTAGCTCTGCATCTCTTTTCGTTTGCTTAATCGTTTTCCCCACAAACTCTTTCCTTAAAAGTCATTTTCGGTGCCTTTAGATAATGATGATCTCGTATATGATAGACGGAGCTGGTTTTCTTATATGTAATAAAGAGATAATAGCCGAAGACATTGATGATTTTGAGTTCACTCCTCGTCCCGAATTTCCCGGCCAATTTCGCGTCTTCAATGTGTCAAATGAGGAGGCTGTTATCCGCCACTTTTTTGACCACATTTTGCGCGTCAAACCCACCATTATGGTAACCTACAACGGCGACAATTTCGATTGGCCCTTTGTTGAGGCTCGAGCAGCGGTTTACAATATAAGCATGTCAGAGGAAATCGGTTTCAATCGTGAGAAATCCGGACCAAGCCCAGGTCGTGACGCGAATGCCGGCGACTACCTCGCTCGCCCCGCTGTCCACATGGATTGTTTTCGTTGGGTTAAGCGCGACAGCTATTTACCCGTAGGTGCTCACGGCCTAAAGGCCGTGGCAAAAGCCAAACTGCATTACGATCCGATTGAAATGGACCCAGAGGTTATGTGCCTGATGGCTCGTGAGGCACCTCGGACACTCGCTAACTACTCAGTTTCCGACGCCGTAGCAACCTACTATCTCTACATGAAGTACGTCCACCCGTTCGTCTTCGCCTTGTGCACCATTCTGCCTCTGAACCCTGACGATGTTCTGCGAAAAGGCTCGGGTACCCTGTGCGAGGCTCTATTAATGGTTCGCGCGCACGAAGCTAATGTCATTTTCCCACACAAACAGTCTGCTGGTTCCTCCCACGGTGGTGCACAAGGAATACTGAGTGATTCGGGAAATAACTACTTCTTTACAGAAGACAACAAATTAATTGATTCTGAGACCTACGTTGGTGGGCATGTGGAAGCTCTCGAAGCGGGAGTTTTCCGTGCTGACATACCCGTTCGTTTTCGCTTGGTTCCTGTGACTTGCGAGAAGCTTCGATCTGACGCACGTCGGTGCATCAAACGAGCAATCTCCACTGAACTTGACACTAAAGACCCCAGTGTTGTCGACAGTCTTGTTGCCAAGGACAATTTCGATGTAGTTTGTGCGGAAGTTGAACAGTCGCTAGCGCAGCTCGCAGCCATGCCTAATCGTGTCGAGTGTCCTGTTCTGGTGCATCTGGATGTTGGTGCCATGTACCCCAATATAATCCTCACAAATCGTCTCCAACCATCGGCTGTCGCTTCAGACGCGGAAAAGCACTGCTCCGGGTGTCATTTCTACAGACCTGGAGTGTCCTGTCAGCGCTTCATGTCTTGGCAGTGGCGCGGTGAACTGTGGACGGCGTCGCGACCAGAGGTTTATCGTGTTCAAGCCCAGCTCCAGCAGGAGCGTTTCCCCACGAAATGTCCCACCACTGGCCAAACCTTTACCCGAGCTTTTCACGAACTCCCAAAGGAGGAACAGGCGATTGTAGAGAAGAAACGCCTCAGCGATTTCTGCCGTCGCGCCTACAAACGTGTTCACTTGACGCGAACCGAGGAGCGGGTTGCTGTGGTTTGTCAGCGCGAAAACTCCTTCTACGTGGACACAGTCCGATCTTTCCGTGACAGACGTTACAAGTTCAAGGGCCTCACTAAGGTAAGCCGCTGGCGATCATGTTAAACACGTGACATTTCACCGCTAATTCCTCAACTTTCCCTTGAAGATTTGGAAGCGGAAACTGGATGAGGCGACAGCCGCTGCTAAAGCGGGAACCGGTGATCCCGCGGATGTAAAGCAAGCCGGTTCCCTGGTCATCCTCTACGATAGTTTACAATTGGCGCACAAGTGCATTCTCAACTCCTTCTACGGCTACGTAATGCGTCGAGGCGCCCGTTGGCATTCCATGGAGATGGCCGGAATCGTGTGTCACACTGGTGCCAACATCATCACGCGCGCTAGAGAACTTGTCGAACAGGTTAGTCTTGACTGCTCCTTTCTCCCCACTTGGGGGTGATGCTAATCAGGCTGAGTCAGAAGAAATCGTGATAGTTCCTAGTTCATTAGCAGCTATCTAGTCGATTGTTTGATTGGCGACTTGCCGTTAGAAATTTGCAGTTTTGTTTTACTGTTTTGGATTGGAAACATGAGTAGCGAAGATAAATAATCAATAACTGATGACTTAAGCGAATTAGCAACGTTGTAAGCAGCCGGCTTTTTGCTGATATTTTACGAAAGCCTGCACGCCGAACTTACAACAAACTTGACACCTTACAACGATCCATTGCGAAATCGTTGCACAATGACCAACTGAGGCCATGCCAGACACCCATGCTCCACTCACTGAACAAAGATGCCTATGACCGTCGTCAAGTTCCCCCCTCCCAAATATTTCAGCAACTCTCAATGGAGGATGTCATCTCTCAACAACTATTTAGCAGCTTGCCATGATGAGTACTACTGTTTTCTTCATAGTACTTCTAAATGCACTGAAGAACCTACTCTAATTGCTCTCGATATGACCTTTAACTCGTCCTGGGGAGTTATTGTTGTGAATCTCGGCTGGTTGTTTTATCCGTGTAAACTTAACTCAAAGTGGGACCTGCTCCAGTTAGATTTAACATGCCGCCGATCTCCCACAACATTTCCGGGCTGAATCGTGAACAATCCTTTGTCTCTTTAGATCGGCCGAACCCTGGAGTTGGACACGGACGGTATTTGGTGCATGCTTCCGGCCAGTTTCCCGCAAAACCTATCCATCCGGCTTGTCAACGGAAAAACCATCTCCATCTCCTACCCAGGCGCCATTCTCAACCAGATGGTGCAAGACCTCTTCACCAACGACCAATATCATGAGCTCACAAATCCCACCACCCTCTCGTACACGGTCAGGTCAGAGAACTCCATCTTCTTCGAAATCGACGGGCCGTATCGTGCGATGGTCCTGCCCGCTGCCAAGGAGGAGGGCAAGAAACTCAAAAAACGCTACGCCGTTTTCAACTTTAACGGAAGCCTGGCGGAGCTGAAGGGCTTCGAGGTGAAACGGAACGGAGAGTTGCAGCTGATCAAGATATTCCAGTCCTCGGTGTTCGAGGCATTTCTGCGGGGCAGCACACTGACGGAGGTCTACGCCGCGGTGGCAAAGGTTGCCGATCACTGGTTGGACGTGCTCTACTCCCACGGGGCTGGAATGCCCGACTCGGAGCTGTTTGACCTCATCGCGGAGAACAGGAGCATGTCGAGGAAGCTGGCCGATTACGGTGACCAAAAGTCAACGTCAATTAGCACGGCCAAACGGTTGGCTGAGTTCTTGGGCGACGCGGTTGTCAAGGAGGCTCGTCTCTCATGCAGGTTCATCATTGCGAGGCAGCCGGAGCAGGCGCCTGTCACCGAGAGAGCTATTCCTCTAGCGATATTTCAGGTTAGTCCGAACCTACTTGTCCTGCATCAATCTCAAGGTGGTATGGTGCCCTTTTACTCGTTTTGATAGGCCGAGCCATCCGTAAAGCGTCACTTCCTTCGCAAATGGCTGAAGGACTCCAGCGTCGGAGCAGACACCGACCTACGCGCCATCCTCGATTGGAAGTACTACATCGAGAGGCTGGGCAGTGCTATTCAGAAGATAATCACCATTCCCGCGGCCCTACAGCAAGTGCCCAATCCCGTGCCCCGCGTCGCTCACCCCGATTGGCTGTTGAAGCGTCTCAACGAGAAGACAGATACCTGCAGACAGCGCAAACTCACCGACATGTTTTTTTCGTGTGACATCGAGGAGGCAGGCGCGACAGCACCACCAACCCTCTCCCCCCCGCCTGTGCCGAGGGTCGTGAAAAAGCGGCCTTCGGAGGCGCCACCGAAGCCCGCGGAACTACCGCCTGCGTGGAGGGACGTTCTAGGTGAACCCCCGGCCTTGGCAGCCGTCGGCACTCAAGCCTGGCTGGAATTCCATCAGAAGAAGTGGAAGCTGCAGGCGGAGCGGCGGAAGTGGTTAGCGGCGCGACAGGACGGCGACGGGGCGCTTTTAACCGGTGGCCCGCTGGCAAAGCGAGCAAGAGGCCTTGGCGGCTTTCTCACGAGGACACGGGTTGCTTTGACCAACGCAGTGTGGCAGGTATAGTTGACTTGATTTCTATTCTATTCTCTTTTTTTATCTTGATAACCCCTTTTTGCCAATCTCCCAACTTCTTAGAGAATCGAGGTTTAAATGTAGCTCGTATTGTTGGATTTCTATGGTCCTTCAGCGCTCAAAATAGGCCGACATGCGTGCTGTTTTGCTTCTGTTTGATTTTAACTAGTCGGGGAACCTGAATTTGAAGTTTGATTGAATGCTGCAAAGAATCACCAATCCGATTAGCTCTACGTGTTTTCCAATGAACCAATCGCGTGCATTTTACGTTAATGTGTTTTGACCCAATCCCAATCACCACACACTTCTTTGTTGCTAAGGGTAATAATGCTATAGCATCATTGCCTCCCAGCATTTAAACACTTCCAGCAGTTTACTACTGACTCCTTTGTAGAAGACAAGTTAGTTTCTTACTGGATATTGCTTATTTGCTCTTTAAGATAATCGAAGTCGTACCAAACCCAAACCAGCCTGGTCGATACACTTTGTGGGTGTTTGTTCGGTCCCCTTTCGATCCAGAGGGTTCAGGGGGTCAATTGCATTCCATCCGGCTGGAAGTTCCTCGTCGCTTCTACGTCAACATGCGTGTTCCTAAACTCCACGATTCGGGCACCTACTACCACAAAGTCTCCGTCACCAGGACTAATTGTGTTGAGGAGGGCCAGATAACCAACTCCAACTACTCCCTGCCACGCAGTCACCCGGTTTACCACCTTTACGAGTACAACGTCCCAGAGGACGTTTACGCGGCGCATTCAGTCGACATCGCCGCTGACTTGGCCCAGCCCGAGGTCGAAGGGGTCTACGAGCTAAATGTGCCCTCGCTCTTTCGCATCCTCACTCGCATTGGCTGTCTGTGTGGAGTGAGCCAGAAGAAGAGGTCCTCGGTGAACACGGCAGCGTCGGCAGACGCAGGGGAAGCCTTCCAGCTAGAACAGTTGGAGTTTCGCTCGCTGGCGCAGCACACCTACTTGGAAAGACGCGACAGTCTGCGGAAAATGTTCCTCTTCTACTACCAGGACAATTCACAGAATGCGACGTATTCGAGACGCGAGGCTTTGAGACAGGTTAGCCTCTTGTGTGGGTACATCCGTGTTCTGAGATCGTACAATAAATTAGATGGAGTACGAGTAGTCGCTTTCTGAAAATATTTTACTCAAAACAGACCAATTTCGTTCCGGTCAAACTAAGACCTGATCTAGGCTGTGTGATCCGAGTCGTGGTCATGTAACTGTGCTAGAGCCTGCACAATCATCAGTAAGCGCATCACACGCACGCACACAACCATTTAAAAACCACTTCAAAAGATTTGCGCTATGGTTTGGCACGTATTGAAGTTAAATATACCCAGGGCAGCCCACAAATGTTAGCTATGTGCATTTAAAATGTATTCGATTCGACCTTTAATTGAACCGATTCATCACTGGTGGTGGTGGTGAGACGTGGCTCGCCTACGATAACAACAATCTTAACCGATCGTGATCCAAGCGTGACGAGCCGCCTATGAAGCCGAACTACGTTGAGACGTGTTACGTTTGCCCTCAACCAAGAGAACCGACCTTCCACGCTGATGCAAGAACAAGACCTGCGCTCGTGTAGGGAGCTTTAATCGCGTCAGCCAAAGTGTGTGTGTGATCTGTCAAAATGTCAGCGCTTTTATAAGTCAAGGGTGACCTTGAAAACCGATTAACACGGATGTGGTTGTCAATAGGATGCCGTTGGTGACACCCACTGATGAGCCATCTTGGGGGAATCTTGGATCCCCCAACAAGACGCAATAGAGCAACCACACATTCAATTCAGGTGTTTGTTATCAACCACTCACGGGATCGGACTAGGAAGGGCATGAAGAAATGCAGCCAGAATTGGCCAATTGTGAAGGAACTGTATTCCACCTGGACAATGTATCACCTCTGGTGGGCAGCCCCTACCGTGCATTATCACACGACCCTGATCTTCCCTTGTAGATGTACTTCCTCGTGGTTCCATGGACCCAGCGAGCCTACGTCTGCATTGTCGACACAGCGCGTGTCAATAAGTTGCCGAACCTCGAATCGCAGTACGCCCGTCATTACACCAAGAGTCACACAGGCACCAACTCCGGCCTGCCTTCCTCCCTCACCTTTGAGACACGCGTCGAGACGGATCCTGCGGTGGCTCGACGCGTCGTCCAACGCTGGATCACCTCAGCGAACCTGGGGCATCGACAGGACTCCAAGAACCTCGACACCTCCCCCACCATAATGCTCCTCCACGCGCCCTCCACCCCCGGTTCTGCCAACACCGCGTCCTTGGACTCACCCTGGTGCATCGGTGATTCCATTGTGAACAGACGTCGTTCGCCTCAACTGACGGCTCTTTCCGAGATGCCCGTGGTTCCACTCGGCGGCACGGGAGACGAGAAGGGTGGGAAGGAGGCCGACGACGCCTACAGCATCCTCAACTGGCAACAGACTGTCGCCAAACGCGCCATCAAGTTCTTTCTGCAGGTGAGTGTGTCTTGTGGCGTGGTTTACAGTCTGTGCTCCTTTGCAGTTGCTGTATTTGGCTCCATGTCTTTTGCCACGGCGTTTTAAACTACCTAGCACGGTACTCACGGGCTATAAAAGAGTGTTCCTGCGTTTACTTATATCCTAACCTTTCCACAGTCAGAGGCGCGCTTCGAGAACCAATTGGAGTTGGCTCGTTACTTCCACGTTCCAGTGGGGAACTTGCCAGTGGCCGAATCGCCCTCACGTCTCTCCGCCAGCAGCGCCGAGGGCGATGCACCGCCAATCGCGGCTCCCATCTGCACTACGGAGTTCGGCTGTGACCTCTTCTTCGCTCGGCACCTCGCGAAGCAGAACCACATCCTCTGGGCGTCCGGCTCCAGCCGGCCGGACTTCGGCGGCAAGGAAGTGGACGATCAACGACTGATGCTGGAAATGGAGGAGGCTAATGCAAGTTTCAAACATACATCCACCAGGCTTTGTCTTTACAAACACCACCACTATTCATTTGGGGGGTTTTGTGTAGATAGTCGAGGTCAACTGCAAGGGCTGCTACCGCCACGTGTGCGTGGATTTGGAGTTCTCTAATCTGGCGGTTAACACAATGCTCGTGGCCAATCGCATCCTCGAATTAGAGGGAGCCAGTGCGCTCACCTTCGACCGACTCATTCCCGCCCAGCAGTCCATCGAGGAACTTCTAAGTCGGGGTGTGAATGTCGGCGCTCAGATCACCGACTACGACGAGACGGCAGCCTGCTCTGCTGCCTTCCGCATCCTTCGGTGCGTGTTTCTTCCATGTACCTCCTGTCGCCTTCGTGTTGCGACCTTAATTTCTTTGCCAAATTATCCCTCCTCGCCCCCGCTTTTGTTTTAGCACAATGGTCTTGGGGTGGGTCAGGGACGTGACTGAGTACCAAAACCCCCTGGCAGACGAACAGGTCATCTACTTTTACCACTGGCTTCGCTCCTCCTCCTCTCTCCTCTACGATCCCGCACTGCGAAGGACGTTGCAGAAGCTCATGAAGAAGGTGAGTCCAGTTTGCTGTTTCCAGGTGCACTCGTCGTTGGATCTAGTTCGTCGAAGGTCGTCCACTCGACTGTTGGGCGTCTATTTTCATTCAAAACCGCCATTTTTGGCCAAACAACGATTCAGTGACGTCCATCTCTCCATAGGCCGCGCAAATTTGCCGAGCTGTGTGGCAAGACGCGTCACGTGGGTTCAGAGGCGTGGAATTACCTCGTTCTCCGCGTGTTGCATTGCCTTGCTCCCACCTCACCTCCGAGTTCCAGGGACTCCTTAGAACTCGGCTTGGAGGTGGTCTTCGCGACCTTAAGTCGCCTCCTCACAACTTCGCACTTGCTTTACTGGAACTACAAACTTTTGACAGTGTTTTCGTCGGACGCAGGAGTTACCCTCCAAACCGGCACCACAGCACCTGTTACTTTCGAGACCTGAGCCTGTCGTCGTCACGTGAATTTAGCAAGTGTCTTAAATTTGACGGTAGCAGGAGTTGGTCGTAGGCACTATATGTTTATGGCCTTGAAAGCAACGATGTTGGTGGTAAACGCAAAGCCTCATTCCCCCTCACGGTTGCGCCCAGGCCTTCATGAGACTCGTGGACAAGCTGAACCAGACCCACCGCCAGAAGGTTGTCTTTGCTACCTTTAATCGACGCGTAGTCTCCATGCCCCTCCGTTTATCATCTGTTCCGTTGGAGCTGAAGCAGGAAAGTGCCAAGCGTTTGAAGTAAAACCGGTGTCAACAGATCTCATGCAAGTTCAAGAGGGTCTTCTGAGTCGCGCGAGCAGCCTTAGGTGTTCAGTAGCAATAAACGGCTTTCTCTGATCAAGTTCATTTCTCAGTTCACTAAATTGTCAGCTGTAGCGTTCCGTCGTTGCCGTCTGACCGGTTTCCAGGAGTTGACAATAGTGTAGACCCTTCATGTCCCCCCATCAGATACACAGGGGAACCTTCATCTTCAAGCTGATGTCCTGTTTCGGCGTCGATGTACTGGGTTCCCCGGGTCTATCCACGACAACGCCTTTACGCTTGCGATTCTCGAACTCATGGAAATAGGTGTTCGGGTGACTCCTAACTGAACTGCAAGCTCTTGTTGTGTTTGCGTTGAGTCTTCGCCTCGTAGAGTTTGCTATTCAACAGCAGTCTCGTTTTTCATGTCTATATATTATTTTGCTGTGTCCAGGTCTTCCTGAAACTGGTGGACGAGCTGAACCAGACGCACGGCCTGGATGTCGTCTTCGCCAACTTCAATCGCATCGTGGTGTGCACGCGTCACTTGGACGTGGTCGATGCACTCTCCCGGGCCGACAGCCTCACCCACATGCTCCAGTCAAAGCCCCTCTTCGTTCATCTCGACCTTCAGTACGCTCGCAGCTGGCACCAACTCCTCTGGTACGACTCCTCCAACTACGCCGGAATTCGGGTGAGTTGGCGGCCAGTCGCTCTCTTTACTCACCGCTCCGCCCACTGTGCAGCAATGACTCACTTCTCAGTTTATAGTCCCCGTAGATTCTTTCTACTATTTACTAGTAGGCATTTTGTGTTAAACTTGACCAGTGTGTGTGCGTTAAGCGTAAATGTAGCTAGGTGATGTGTCGCAAATTTTTCCCTTTAACCATCTTCAGGTCGACTTGGATGCCATCGACTCCCAGGTCAGGATGGTGGACATGGACGAGGCGGAGAAGGACTTCGAGGTAGACATGTGGTGGCATATCGCTCGCTACCTGCCGGAGACGCGCGGTCTGCGCGCCAAGTTCCAGGCTCTCGTCGCGGGCTACCTCCTGGCCTCGAGAAAAGCCGTCGTGGCCGAAGCCAAACGTCTAGTCGAGTGTGGCGTTAGCCTCTCACAACCGCCACCAGTGAGTTGCGGCCAAAATAAGGTCTGCTTTTGTGGGCGTCTTAGTGGTTTGATTTCATCACATCTGTCCACTCTCGTTTCTTTAAAACCACGTATTCATAGCCCTGTCCAAAACTCAGTAATAAAACGCAAAATCCAAACGTCTAGATACCCTAGCCGAATCGGAAATTTCAGATCGCGTTCGTCACGAGCACCGCTCGTTCATTGGGCGAATTTCAATTGGCGCTCAGTAAAAATCAATTAAAACAACGGGTAAATGGTGAATGTTACACCTCTCTCCCTCAGGTACCTCCGAAGAACGATGAAGACTGCGGTGATGAGAATGCTCCGCCTGGTGCACTCACTGCCACCGACGCCACCCTTGCTCCAGGTGTTCTCGACTTTCTAGACCGTCTCGTTCGGGAGCAACTGGCGCCCGAATTGTACAGTTTCGTGCAGCGCCTCAGGCGCAAGGCTGGACCGTGGTGTCCGACCAACACCACGGGCGGACCTTACACTCCGGAGGACATTGTGGCGTACCTGGACGAGAAGTCGGCGCTAGACGGAGTGGATGGCATGGAGACCACGCGTCCACTGCCCCTCTTGCCTCCACACCCAGCGGAATTCGGTGCCGTGGCTTTGTCTCCGATTTGCGACTTTGTCAAGACCATTTGCCAGGTCCTCTCACTGGACAAATGCATCGTCCGACAGGTAAGCCCCAATTTCACCTCTTGTACGTATTTGGAAGCACCATAATCGTGGAGGCTGTCTCGCAGGTTGGCGATGTGGAGCGAGATCTCTTCCGTTTGATCAACGTCGGGGAGTTCTCGCACGCGGCGCTCTGGACACCGCCGCACGAGTTAGTCGGCGGCGGTGGACGCTCACTCCTCGTCTACCTGCCCGAGGTGACCTGTCTGACGTGCAACTTCATCCGCGATCTGGACGTCTGCAGAGACCGACACCTGGACGTCGTGGACGGCTTCTGGTGCCCCGTCTGTCCCCACTGCGGCACCGCCTACTCCAAGGGCATGCTGGAAGCGGGCCTGCTATCGCAGGTGGAGCAAATCAACCTTCAATTCGCCCTCCAGGTTCGTGTGCACATTGTTATCCTATCCCATTTCGGCAGCAAACGACCCGATTGTTCGTTTTGTGTGTGTGTGTGCATCTAACAGTCACTGGCGAAAGATTTCTACTGGAACGTGGAAGTAACGAGCCAACTCCGACTGTAGAGAGGTTGAGATGTAAATGAACTCAATAACACCCGTTTGTGGTATGCGTGTACCGACCTTGCTGGTTTACACCGCCGTGCCGCTGTGGTATGCACACCACCTAACTCATTGTGAGTCTAGACAGCGTTCTTAGTTTTACGCAAATAAGCACCTCAACTACGCCAAAAAGGTGTGCCTGTGTGTTCCGCCTTGACGTTGATTCTCTTAGCCAACAGCTGCAAATTCACTCATTTGCTGATGATCGACACGTGTCACAGCCACCGACGCCACCGTTGCTCCAGGTGTTCTTGGCCGTCTTGTTCGGGAGCACCTTGCGTCGGCGTTGTACGGCAGTTTAACACACTCATGGTCGCTTCAACGCATTAAGAAATTTCACAGAATTTGTTAGTTTTTTGGAATCATCATCACAACACCCACTCTGATAAACTCGCAATCCTACTTCAGTGCGGGGCTTACAGCGGCGCATGGCATTGTTGTAAGCCCCAGCATGTGGTCTTGAACCACGTCGGGGCTACGGTATTAACCCCAGCCCGATTATGTTTCCCTGATACCCGCGATGAAGAAAAAGATCGGAGAGGACGTGGACACAATAGGTTACCTCAGAGGTCAACCACGTTGGTGTCGTTGTGCCGTTTGTGGCGTTTGCGCGTGTGTATTTATACCTCAGATGTGTAAGTCATAGATGCGCTAACATCGAGACCTAGGTGTGAGGATTGGCACAGCTGGCGACATGCTGCGAAAAGGGGAACCCTGTGTCGGAGGCCGAAACGACCGGATTAAGAGGTGTGAATAAACCCTATTCACAACAGCATCGGTCTTTAACGGCATTCCATCATACCCCCCTGATTGGTCTTCTCTCTAATGCCTGGGTTATTGTAACACGAGACTGCGTGATGTGTTTGCAGGACCTGCGTTGCCCCAAGTGCATCACCGGAGGCGGGATCCAGGAGTCGGCCCTGGCGAGGGGAGGCTCCCTCGGCAGGTGCGCCGATTGCGCGTCGCCCCTCGAGTTCACCGTGGCCGCTGGCGATGCCCTCTTCCGGCGTCTGGCTGTCTACGCGGCGATTGGTCGAGACTTCAATCTGCCCGCCCTCGAGCACACCGCCAATTGGCTGCTCAATCGGCGTGCGACCTAGAGATGCGCGTCGTGCATTTATGTCTTTATACTCACACGCATATATATACATATTTTTTGTACGCGAGATTTGTATCTTTGGTAGAAAGTTTACAGGCATATTTTTGTAATGTAAAATATATCCTTTTCGTGGCTGCTCACGTCTTTTCGGTAGGTACATATGTGTATACTCAATGTTAACTGGCTCTGCGCTAACCTAACCTAACAAGGAACTGGGGCTGTGCTATTTGTCCCTGTACGCCTTCACTCGTGCGTCTAACAACGTCGTAGAGTGCTCTCGTTGCCTTTGTTAAGCCACGTAATCTAGGCAGCCGTTCCTCCTTAGCATGGAACCGCAATTTTCTCGTCGCGTTTTGGACAACCGACTTTCAGGTTACTGCTCCAAGTACTCCTCCTCCTTCTCGTCTGTGAGGAGGTTCTTTCGACTCCTCTTTCCTCTCCATCTGTCCGAGTTCCTTCGTGATGGAGGGGCTTTCTGACTTGTTCTGCTCGTAATAACTTCGATTGCGTGGATAGGTGCTTCTGGACTGTGACCTGGTTCCGTGTGTGACTCGTTTTAGTCGTTTATGAAACCTGATATCTCCTTCTGCATGAATTAGCTACTGTTGAAGTCTAATCGTCTAAGATCTGTTGAATATGACTAACCCTGCTGTAGGCCTAACTCTCACAAACGCTGGTTTAGCTTGTCTCGTAGTCAGTGACTAACTTACAGTCTTACATTCTGTGCTACAAGAGCCTGCAGCTAAATACGTTTCCCAACTGCCAGCTAGGCGTTGTCAATGGCAAGGTTGGCCAGAGAGGCGAGTAATCTATGCCCAGACACGATCACAATGCCGTCAGTTTTCATTGGCCAGGTCTGGTTTTGCACTCAGTAATTCCTTCATCTAACCAATCAGACACAGCTTGTGGTACCATGGTTGTGTTCAAGTGGAAACGGAAGCTGACTAGTTTCCTCCATCTGCGAGTGATCCGATTTCGCAGCGTGTGCGTTTTGACACAAGTGCTGTGTGATTTTCACCCTCCAGTTAATTGCGAGCTCGCGGCTGTTTACTCGTCCTCTGTTTTCCCAACTGCACGTGAACGTTCCCACGCCAGATTGGCACCAACAACTCCCAAAAAACGGTTATCTGATTCGATTCAAGTTCTCCTTTCTGCATCTGCTCCTGTGCTTCAGAAGTTTGCCTACTAGTTGACAAAAATCGAGTGGGCCTGATTTATTGACCTCGAGGCCATTTTCTTTGATATTCGATTGGCAAATGACTCAAAAGACGCTAAATAAATTGCCCATGTGTAGGATGCTAAACCCCCGTTAACTCGTCTGCCACGAAAGACTGCTAAAACTTCGGTAACCACTAAATTGGCTGGTTGTTCAAGATTGGGTCGCTCAACTTGCTCTGTCATTTTATTTTCCGCCAAATTACCATTCAAAAGGGACTAATCACGACCAAGTTTGAGCGTGAACCACGCACTCACGCGAACCAATAATTCTCTTGAAATCTCTGAACAAATAAGAGCTCCAATTAGATAAAACCTGCCTACAGGCGACGTTCTTTTTCATGGCTCGTTTGATCAGTGGGCTGAAAATTAATTTTCTGCGGCAACCACTTGCAAGATTGCGTTGAGACATACTCCTGGCTGCGTGTACAAACATCCACAGGAGTCTGGCTTATTTATTTGTGTTTCAGAGGGGTCGGAAATGATTGAGGGCTACTCACCGCTGGCACAGACAGTACTGAGCACCGGTTTGACTTGGGGCGCGACAGCTCTAGGCGCCTTCTTCTGCATCCTTCAACCGACCGGCCGAAAGTGGACAGAAAGCGTACGTTCAGGTGGTGCCTTATCAGTCAACCCCATCGCGTGCCTAGCCCGGCATCAAAGCTGGCTCGCCACTGTCGGAAGTCTCCGTTTTTGGGTCTGAAACCTCAGTCCTATGAACACACATTAAAGCAAACTTATCTGGACCCAATCACGATTGTGGAAGGACTAAATTAGTAGGCGTTAACTTATCTCGCGATTAGCAGCAGCCAATCGAATTCAAGGACAGTCAACTTTGCAGCCAATGAGAATGGCGTTCGTGAGCCACTTTATCATTGGTCGCGAACATGGGCGAACACACCTGGATTTACCTAGAAAAACGATATAGATGCATCCAATTAACGACATTCCCAATATGCTCGTTAAAACTGTCGATTTACACTGTTGTAAATTTTCTTGAAAACTCACTCGCTACTGAAAACGCCTTCAAATTCGGTCAAATGTGTCTTAGGTTATCGCAAAATGGTGTGCCTAATTTTCACAGATGGCAGTGGCCTGCTCTTCAGACCGAGGTCATGTTTCATTCACAATTACATTGTGAGGTGACAGTTGTCTTGAGTCAACACGACCCTTAAAAAATCTGTTTTTTTAAACTGATGTGTGTGCAGCGTTGCCTTTCAAAGTGGGAATGAAAATTTCCATGAGTTTAAACAGCGGAGCGAGTGCTGGAACTTGTAAATTCAATCCAATCGATGAACATATCGGGTTGTGTGGCATCCTTGGAATGCCTGAATTCCATTGGTGTGTTTAAATCCTTCGCGTTTATGAGAGCCAATGATTAACGAGGAAGGAGTTGCTGTTGATGATGGATTAAATTTGTGATTTTGTAAATGAAATTTCACGGATAGCCACTGAGTTTATTGTTGAGAGACTAAATGTTAACAATTCAAATACATGCTGTCATTCCAATCGCATTTATGCTAGATCTGTGGACAGCCTCTCTACCATCTTAATTAAGCCACGTTTTCACACCTTTTAGAGCCTCTTCCTCGACTGTAGTCTGGGATTTTCGGCCGGGGTAAGCACTAAGTCCCCCTTGGACTAAACGTCCACCTCCGATTTCCTTCACGTCTGTCCTGTTTCCAGGTCATGCTGGCGGCCTCTTTCTGGTCCCTGCTGCAGCCCGCTATAGATTTGGCCATCAACGAGGGCCTTGGTAGTCTCTGCTACTTGCCGGCGGCAACCGGTTTCATCGTCGGTGCAATCTTTATCATCATTGCCGACTACTTCTTCCCACAGCAAGTAGGTGACTAGACTGCTGGCCAAACCTTTTGGTGTTGTTTTTGAGTGCAACGTCGGTGTTGTTTTCCCTTGACTAGAATATCTTCGATCCCCACGAGTCATCGGAACCACTACCGCCTGCCTACTCACCCCTATTGGACACCCAACTTTTCACAAGTAGGCTCTCACACCAACTATGCAGTATGCTTTATATTTTTTTGATCACTCCTATTGGACGCTCGACTTTTTACAAGTTGGCTCTCTCACCAACTATACGCTAAGCTTGATGTTTTATTGATTAAATTGATACTCTTCTCCTCCTACAGATTACGAGAAGATACGTGGGTTTTGCACAGTTTGCACTTTTTCCGTTATCACCTAATTGTGTTCGCATCTACTCACTCACAACGTCATTTTTCACCTAAAACTGCAAATTCTTGATGTTCGTCAGTTTCTGTGCGTGCTTCGTTTCTCCTTAGAATTGGATGAATCAGTGCGATATCGTGGAAGATTCAACCATGACGGGAGTGTGCGACCCCTGCACCTCGACGATGGCGATGGCAACGACGAAATTGCCCAGCGAAGGCCCCGGGTGAGCAGTCGTTTGTGGCTGTTGTTGCTCGCCATCACCGTGCACAATTTTCCCGAGGGACTGGCTGTTGGGGTTGCCTTTGGAACCGAAACTACAGGCAGTTCTAGCGAATCCTTTGTGCGAGCAAGGTAAATAAAGTCTACTCAAACTACATCAGTAGTAGTTTATTTATGCTTGTGCGTCATTTGTTTCGGTCACTTGTGCTCGTTTTTAGGAACCTTGCACTCGGCATGGCCATTCAAAACTTTCCGGAGGGTCTCGCCGTAAGTCTTCCTCTGAGGGCGGCAGGCTTCTCCTTTTGGAGGAGTTTTTGGTAAATGCCATTTGTTTTTAATCTACCTTTCATTTTTTGTCCACCGGGGGTTCATGTCAATTTGAGTACATGCTTAGATCGGGTGACTTTGAACATGCCGTTTGGACTGTGTGGCGTCCTTGGAATGCGCGAAGTCCATTGGTGCGTTTAAATCATTCGCGTTTATGGGAGCCAATGACTAACGAGGAAAGAGCTGATGTGCTATTGAGCAGAAATTTTCACAGTGACGTTTAGTTACTTCTGACGCTAATAATTTTGTCTTTGTCATATCTTCCAGGTATGGACAGCTTTCGGGCTTCGTCGAACCAATCGCAGGCGTCCTCGGGTGCTTGGCTGTCCAGTACGTGCACATCCTCCAGCCATACGCCCTCGGATTCGCAGCTGGCGCCATGATCTTCGTCGTCTTCGATGACGTCATTCCAGAAGCCAACAGGAAGTAAGTCACCGCATTTAAACAAACTCGCGCACACACACTTCGTCCAAACCCACCCGCCTTTGGGTTTTGACTCGTGGGTCATTTCGACTCCCCACAAGCATTACCTCCGTTCGCGTGGATTTGAATTTGATGCAAACAGGAATGCACTCCGGTTTTTAAATTTCGCAGGGCCTTATGAATGCACATATCCAATTGCTGCGCTTTTGCGGTTGTCATGCCGTTCGCGTCACCGACGCGTCATTTTGCGATAAAACGATGCCGCAGGTCAACTCAAAAGAGCTCGTTTCGTAAAAGTTGTGTTTTCGGTGGAAACTGTGCCTCATTGTTGAATTGGTTATGTCAACTCAATTGACCGGAGTTTCAGCAGTACCCTCAGTTCCTCGTGGTGGGAAAAATGTCTTGTTGGCTAACTCCTTCTTCGGCATTCGATTAGCGAGGTGTCTGTGCTAACACACCAGCTCACTGTGTCTCAAGTCGCAATTTTCACATTGTCCCACGATAGGCATCGCCTGACCCCTCCCCTCCCCTCTTGTGTGCCTCCAAACGGACCCCTTTCTACACCCTCCTTCCCTCTGTCATAACTGCAAATGATGACTCATCACTCTGTCCGCGAATCACACTTCACTGTTTTCAGCCCTTTGATCTGTCATTTTTGGTTTTATGTGGTGGCGACTATGAGCAGGAAGGAAAAAGAGGGAGGAGAGGAGGAGGAGGAACCAGAAGACACGAAGCTGTTAGTATAACTGTGCTGATGGCGGTGTGAGGTGAAAGAAGAGGCTGAGAATGTGGGGGTAATGATGACGCAGACGCGGAGGAGAGGAGTTGGGGGTGGTGGCGGCGGCGGCGGCGGCGGCTTGGATGCAATCGCTTCCCTCTCCCATCCTCACCTACATCCCCTTCAACATGATACCCTGTCGCTGGTACTGCTCAAACGCATGTGATCCTTCCTTTCGTGACTGCCTTGTCACTCCCAACAACTTGCTAGTAACCGGAGGATCCCAAGCATTTCCCCTGGCTTTTCAGACATTTAGCTCGGATTTTGTGCTAGTGAAACCAGTCATGGTGAGCAAATGATACAATTTTTTAGCTTCGAGTTTTCGGTGAAATCGGAAGTCATGCAGGGCTGAAAGCTTCAAGTCGAAATAAAGAACCACAATGGCCTCTTTAAGCGAAGCTCTCCGAATCGAGTGATGGGGTCGGTCAGCGTCGCCCTGAGCGAGCTGGCAAACGGCGGTGGATTTACTGAATGGCAAGTAACACCTCAGCTCCAAGCAGGCCTTGAATGCGCCTTTTTATCACCGATTTTTGCGTTGAAACACGTCGAATTGTGTGGTTATTTGTAGACACTTTGCCATTCCCACCAATCTCTTGCTGCGCTGGTTACTTTTATAGACATTTAGCCCTATCCCCTGTTGCGTTTATCCTGGTTGTGAGCGGCCTTCGTCCCACTCACATTTTCCCAACGGAGGCTACAAAACCGCTACCATAGTCGCGAGCCCAACTCACATCGCCACGATCAAAGTCCCCCAGGTCACCGTTATTGATAAATTGACTGGTTGCTAATTTAGCCCTTCTTTTTGCGATGATGAAATGGGAGCGGTATCATAAAAAGCCACAACCTCAACCTGATAGCACGCAGTTTTTAAGCGGCGCCGCACTCCCATAGTGGAGTTTATGAGTGGTTTGTGTTATTACCCTTTGACTTCCGTTCTTCAGACG